AAACCTTTTTTTCATGTATAAATATTCAAATATTTCTACACGAAAGATAATTTAATATGAAATTAATAAGAAATTAAGAAACGTTATTTTCCAAGTTCTGCATGGCATTTTAACTGTGAATGTCATAATACTGTTAGCTACAATAAAATACACATATTTGTGTTCAGCAATGTCTCTCGAGTAAAACAATATCCCCCATTTATGGTGTTTTGAAAAGGGACAGAGTCAAATATAATGCTTGCCCATTTTAGTTTTTACACATTGAAATTTGTCAGAATGGTTATGTAGTCTTTGAGACCGTATGGCAGCCCAGAAATGAGAATTACCCTCATCATGGCATACCATTTGCAAAAGTAGACAACCCAAGGTATTCAAAATGGGGTATGTTCAGACTTTTTTTAGCAGCCACTTATTCACAAACCCTGCCCAAAGTTAGTGTTCATATGTTTTTTGCCTTTTTTCCACACAAAAACTGCGTTTTCACTGATGATATCAGTGTCATGATATGTTTTACTGTTTTAGAACACTCATATTTGAGTTCAGCGAAGTCATGCTGGCTCGGACGTCGCATGGATCACCAAAGTCTGCGTCAGATGCTAGGGAACCAGGGCAATCTGACGACAAGTGGGCTACTGCTCCCCTCCTGCCTGTGTGTAGCGTGGCTGAGCGTTCTGACAGGAACTGCTCACTGTAAGGGAATGAGACACCGTGGGGAGGGGAATTAGACACTGTTGGGGGGGGGTGGAGGAATTAAACACATAGGAGGGGGGCCCCAGGACAATTACGACTCTGCTTTTAAGATATACCCCGAATGAATACATGCGTGAAAATTCATGTATCTATGTATTGGGGGTATATCTACTAAACAGTGATTTTAATAAATTTTGTTACTAGCTAGCAGTGGAGTGCTCTGTAAAGTGGTGAATACAACCAGTGTTTCAACAAAAAATGTGTTTATTATATGAAATTCTGAAACAAAATCATTAAATCTCTTTCCTGCTTGTGCTAAAGTTGTGAGGCAATAGTACATTCAGTCCATGATTAGGTCCCGGAATTCCAGGGATTTTGTCACCCAGGGCCTGTGCAAGATTTTTGGCTGCACAGGCGAAGGGCTGTAGGTGCCCCGGGCTGTAGAAGGGGTGGGCAGGGGCTGCAGAAAGGGGGCAGGGGCAGGGACTGTAGAAATGGGGCAGGGGCAGGGACTGTAATTTTTCTCCCCTCCTGTTGACGCGCCGGCAGGACTGTCACCCATAGGTTAGCTGTGGTATGAACTTTAAAAACTTAGGAGGTCATCTGATTATCAAGAAAACACCTAACTGCATGATCTTCCATAACTTTAACAAACATGTGCCACAACAACAATGGTGGAAATTTCAAACATAGTGAAGTAATTGTCGAAATATTGTAATTCAGATGTCTCAGGGGGTCAATGAACTTGGATCCAGTCATTAACGTATATGGCAGCGTAGTCTAAGGAGCCGTGTCTGTCCAAACAGGTGAGTTGTCAGAAATAGGGAGTATGAACATGAATCTACCATTCCATGTGGTCAGAGACAGTTGCCACTTAGCTCTTGCTTATTCATCAATTGTGACCCTATTGTTGCTGTCAGGAAGCCAGTGCATTAGGTGTAAAAGTCTGGAAATAAATGGCTGTCCTTGGGGAATAATTTACATGCAAACTTAAGGGACCTAAGTACAGACTGTAACTGTTTACGTGTACATGAACCTTGTTGTAAACAGGTTCTCATATATTCTAGGATTCTACTTACTTTCTCTTCTGGGAATCTGGTTTTCATGGTGATTGAATTCAGATGAATACTTAGGTGATATTGTTACTTGGACCTTCTGTTTTCTCTTCCGAAATTGGGACCCTTACACTGATGGAACTACTGCGGTCGCAGCTGCGACCGGGTCTGTCACTCTAGGGGGCCCAGCCCCCCTGAGGATCCCTGCGAACAGGTGCCTGCTGCCATATTTATCCTGCCTCCACAGGATATTTCAAGTTTCCTCCATTCTTTAAAGTTTTTATTAGTTTCTTTTAAAAGATCTATAACTGCCAGGGCCACAGTGAAGGGGCCTATTGAGTGGCCCATGCTGTTATGGTCACCCGATGGCAATGAACATCCAGGGGGCCCTGGTCAGCACTGCGGCACTTTAACAGCGAGTCCGGACCCCCTGTGATGACGTCAGATCCTGGGAGGAAGTGACAGCCCCGGTCACTCCTCCCAGCTATTAGAGAGAGACACGCGGGAAGAAGGAGTAAGAATCAGAGTGGAAACTCTGACTCCCATCAGCCTAAGCCACCACTGGACCCCAGGGAAAGTCACCCTCCTGCATCTAAAAGGTTCGAAACAGGTGGGTGACAAACATTTGGCATGTTTGTGTGTTAGTGTATGTGTGTCTGTATGAATGCCTCTGTTCGTGTGTCTGTATGTATGTGTCTCTATATATGTGTGTGTTTGTTTGTGTATGTGTGTCTGTATATATGTTTGTATGTGTGTGTGTGCATGTGTGTATGTGTGTCTGTATGTATGTGTGTGTGTCTGTATGTGTCTGTATGTATGTATGTATGTGTGCATGTGTCTGTGTGTGTCTGTATGTGAGTTTGTGTCTATTTTTCTGTCTGCATGTGTATCTGTTTGTCTTCATGTGTGTGTGGTAAGGGGGTGGATGTTTGGGGGAGAGGAGAATCAGACTATGGGGGGGAGTACATGTATGGGGGTGAAAGTAGACGTATTGGGATGGGAGGTAGACGTATGGGGGCGGCCCCAGGGCAATTTTCGCACTGGGGCCCCGTAGTTTGCAGTTACGCCTCTGGACCCTTAGTTCGTAAAACAGACTGACCATTTGAATTAGACTGACAGAAGGTTTCAATTATTAGAAAATTGTCAGAATAATGTATGACCACTGGGCATCTGCAGTTATTAAAAAGGAGCCAGAGTTTCTGGACTATTTTATGCCCCAAACGTAAGCTTAGCAGCAAAAAAATACTGATTCTCCCACTTAACCTTGTTGTGCAGGTGCCACAGTGAAGGGCCCATGTATGGAAGTTTAAAAGCATTTGATAAATCCAGTTTGCTTAACCAAGCACCCTTTCTTATATTGATTATAACTTTCACTGTGTCATCTTCTTTGAGTAACATAATGAAAAATTATCTGACGGTGTAGTGGAAGAATGAGAAGTCAATGATTAATCTTTGCATATTGTTGAATTTACCAGTGGCTAAACCAAGAGGGCTGGTTCTCCATTTGGAATAAGGTGTGGTTTAGAACAGTCCTATCATGAAATCATGCTCTAGTTCTTTAGTTAGTAGCAAGTTTCCTGATTGTGGCTTGTTGGTGGCTGACTTTATGTTGACCTACTCCTGTGGGGAGAGATATCAAACCTGTGTGGAACCCTGATGAAAACCTTGAAGTTAAAAACTCCATGTGAGATGACAAGTGATTTGCTAAGCAAAGCCTTAGCATGTTAATATTTTCTGGGGATAGTCACTGTATCGGAAATAAGTAGTCAGGACCCATTTTTTGTTTGCATAGGCCAAAAAAACACATGGAACACACGAGTAGCAACCTACAGGTGCTAAAACCATAATCCCCTGCTTTGAAGTTGTTGCATACTTGTGCTTTCCCCAGAAAGACGATAGGTATTCAGGAGGATAAATAAAAAGTTAAGATTCGTTTGAAAAAGTTATTCACCTCAATGGAATGGCAGACTTAGTTCAGTGTAATAGTTGCTATGCATTTGTTTCACGTTCCACTTTTTGGAGGTTTGGTTGTTGTCTAATCTGTAGACAGTTCTCTATCTTGCGGCAGGAGATTGTATTTTTGAAGTCTGAGATTTGTAAATTATCTGGTGTGGCGAAACCGACCTCGCCACTGGGCATTGGAGAAGACTGATTGCCAGCCTCCTGCCCTGTGACTATGGCCCCATGTTGAAATGCTGGATTTTCCCCTGCAAAGACCCGAAAGCCGGGTCATTCGGTACTTTCCCTATGTGAGCAGTGTTACCCCAGATAGCTATGCCATGGAGCCCATTCGTATAACAAAAGACTATGTGAAAGACTTTGGCTCCATGGCAATTGAACTGTATGTATGTGATCTGAGCGCCATTCAGTAATAATTTGCTCTCAGATCTAAGCTATCTGGGGATATGTATGAATTTACCCGTTTTATGCAATAGCTGCACAGTTATATATTTGTATGTATTTTATTGTATTTTGCTACCATGTGGCTAATGGAGTTTTGCCTCTGTCCTTGGAGATAATTTGATTACTTCCCAATTATCTCCAGGATAGAAGCCTCTGTGGAACTTTTTGGGCAGAAAAACCATGCTTCATTTGGTCAAATAGGACTTTCCCTTAACTTTTTAACCCCTGAACCTATTGCCCTGATTTTTGAGTATGTGTATATTTCAAGCATGCGGATTCTGAATATGTAATTTAAATGAAGATTGGACTTATATTTTTTAAGTTATAGCACATGTATAAAAACTGTATTTTTCCTGCTTGTGATAATTATGTTAACCCATTGTGTACCATAATTATATCACAGGCAGAGAGGAGGATTTTGTGTATAATTGCTGGGAGTGTTTTCTGTAATGTACGTGTGTTATTGGTTGTTCTATAAAACCCTGTGGGCAGTACTAAGTTTGTGGATTGGGAATAAAAGAGGCTGTATGTGCCACTACAGTCAGTTCTGCTTGACCGCAAAACGAAGTGTCGTCTCGTTATTGGGGGAATTGGATTGTATGCTGATTGCCAGGAGTGTAAGCTGATTGTATGCTTTTCCTGTTCAGCTGCTTTCAGCATTCATATGCTTGAGGGCATTCATATGCTTCTCTGGTTCGGTGCTTGTGGTGTCTGCTGCAGTGCTTGGAGTCCTCAGGAAGCACTAGGAGCATCCTTCAACGCAGGTACCCAGTCGGGGTGCCAGGTGATCCGTTACATCTGGTAAATAAACTCAGGCTGGAACTGCTTCAAAGCCACTGCTGCAGAGACATACTAGGAATGGCAGATGGATTACTGTAGGATCTGGTAGACTTAGAGTTGTGGATAAAAGGCATATTGCACAGTCTGTTGCTCTACATTATTCATTTTCTGCACTTTCAGAGTGTAATGGTGTTATGGAGACAGGCACTGAGGGTAGTGATGTTGTGGAGAGAGGCACTGAGAGTAGTGGTGTTGTGGAGAGAGGCACTGAGGCTAGTGGTGTTGTGGAGACAGGCTCAGGCACTGAGGTTAGTGGTGTTGTGGAGACAGGTTCAGGCACTGAGGCTAGTGGTGTTGTGGAGACAGGCTCAGGCACTGAGGGTAGTGGTGTTATGGAGACAGGCTCAGGCACTGAGGGTAGTGGTGTTGTGGAGACAGGCTTGGAGACTATGGTGAGGCCTAATAGAAAGCAGTTGTTGTTGGGGGATTCCATCATAAGAGGTGTGGAGATGGACAATGGTGGTCTTGTAAGGTGTCTTCCCGGAGCTACTGCTCACAGAGACAGGAGACGTATTTGTAATATTGTTAAGCGAGCAAAGCAGGAAGGGGAATTGGATGTTCTTGTCCATTTAGGGACAAATGACTTGGCTTGCAATGAGGTTTCAGAGGTTAAGGAAGTTTTTAGTGTTTTTGCGAATGATATACGACAGGTTGCCTCCACACTGTCATTCTCTGAAGTTCTGCTTGTGCATAACACTCAGAACGACAGGCGGATGTGTATTAAGGACTTTAACTTGTGGCTTGGTGACTGGTGTCGGGAGCAAGGATTTGGCTTTATTTCTCATGGTAGCTCTGTTTGGAATGGAAATAAACTGTACAAAAAAGATGGTTTGTATCTTTCTCAAAAGGGAACAAATGTTCTCAGTGAGCCGTTCAGAGGTTTTGCTAGGATGTATTTAAACTAGAAGGAGGGGCAAAAGGATGATAAAACATCAATCCAATTGTCGCCCAAAACAAGGACAGAAGGTGCCTGTAGCAAGTGTCTTAAAAAAATTATAAGCTTAAAGTCATGTCTACAAATGCTCGCAGTTTAGGGAATAAGATCCATGAACTTGTGGCAATAATAGCAACTGATAGTGTAGATTTAGTCGCTGTTACTGAGACATGGTATAATGAGAAAAATGACTGGGACATAGCAGTACCAGGGTACTCTTTATATAGAAAAGACAAGGAAGGCAAGAAAGGGGGAGGGGTGGCCCTGTATGTGAAGGATAGAATCAAATCTAGCCTAATAAAAGTTAGTGAGGCGAACATAGAGTCCATTTGGGTTATGTTAGAATTTGGTAATCACACAGTAACTCGTGTAGGTGTGATTTATAGGCCCCCAGGACAAATTGAAGAGTTAGATAATCTACTAGTTGAGGAAATAGCTAAAATGACAATGAAGGGGGGAGTTATCATCATGGGTGACTTTAATCTTCCTGATGTAAATTGGAAAACAAAAATAGCTGCTTGTGCCAGAAGCACACATATTCTAAACTCCCTACTGGGATTGTCTCTAAAACAAGTCGTTGAGGAGCCAACTCGTAAAGAGGCCATACTAGATTTAGTGTTAACAAATGGAGATTTGGTATCAGATATTACTGTAGGTGATAGTTGAGGATACAGTGATCATCAGTCAGTGTGGTTTAATATAAGAACAGTGACTGAGTCACACCACACAAAAACAAATGTTCTAGACTTTAGAAAAACAGACTTTTCTAAAATTAGAATATGTGTAAAGGAGTCATTATCAGACTGGAGCAATTTAAATGGAGTCCAAGAAAAATGGGATTATTTAAAAATTGCACTACTGAAGGCAACAGAAAATTGCATTAGGCTTGTCAGTAAAAGCAAAATATTCAAGAAACCAGTGTGGTACTCCGCAGATGTGGTCAAAATAGTAAAAAACAAAAAGTTAGCATTTAGTAATTATAAAAAAACCAAGAGTGATGAAGACAGAATGATCTATAAGATTAGGCAGAAAGAGGCTAAGCAAGTTATAAGAGCTTCCAAATCACACACAGAAGAGAAAATAGCACAGTCAGTAAAAAATGGGGACAAAACTTTTTTTAGATACATAAATGAGAAAAGAAAAGTAAAACAAGGATTCGTTAGATTAAAAACAAAAGAAGGAAGGTATGTAGAAGAGGATAAAGGTCTAGCTGACTGCCTCAATTAATATTTTTGTTCGGTATTTACAGATGAAAATGAAGGAAAGGGACCTCAGTTAAGAAAAAGGATAAATGAGTCATTTATTACACGTGAGTTTACAGAGGAAGAGGTTCTATTTCAACTGTCAAAAAGTACTTTCAAAACCATTAACAGATTTATTTACCCAATCATTGTTAACAGGAGTAGTCCCAGAAGATTGGAAGTTAGCGAATGTTGTGCCCATTCACAAGAAAGGTAATAATAAGGAGTCGGGCAACTATAGGCCAGTAAGCCTTACTTCAGTAGTGGGGAAAGTGATGGAAACCATGTCAAAGGATGTCAACAAATTTTAGCATTTGCAATAATTCTATCATCTAAGTTATTTGCATTTCTTTTTTTAAGCATATTGGTTAATATGTTATTGGGTAATAAAATCTGTTATATTATATTTATGATAATATTTGTGGCGAAACCGACCTCGCCACGTGTCCTTGGAGGGGGCTGCTTGCCCGCCTCTTGCCTTTGGACTATGGCCCTGCAGGTTAAACTGTTTATTTTCCCTGCAGAAAGGCTTATTCGTGTGATCTGGGTGCCATTCATCTAATAATGTGCAGTCAGATCCAAGCTATCTGGGGATATGTAGAAATGTGTGTTTTATGTACTAAATGTGTCAGTATGTAATTTTATGTCTTTTACTGTCTTTTTGTCTGCCATGTGGTTAATGGAGTTTGGCTCTGTCTTTGGAGATAATTAGATTCCTTCTCCAATTATCTCCAGGGCAGAAGGGAGGAAGCCAGGATGCATTGTGGGGATGTTTTACTTTTACTGTTTGAGCCAGGGGGAACAAAAGATACTTTTACTAACTTTTGAACCCCTGGTCTGATTCATGCCATTTTTAATATGTTGTTCCCCTGAATGGATTGATTGTGAATATGTATTTTTATGCGAATGTGATGTATATTTTGGGAGTTATGAATGTTGTGTAAAAACTGTATTTTCCCTACCTATGATAATTGTATTTCCCTGTGTGTACAGATAATTAGTTTACAGGTAGAGGGGAGGGCTGTGTGTGGGATGTAACTATTGTGTGATTGGTTAATGTACGTTACTGTGTGTGTCCCTCCCCTTCATGGGAGCACCTAATAAAAAGGGCTGCAAGCTAGCAGCCAGAGAGTTCTATTTTTACCCTCAACTTGAGTCCTGTCTCTTATTGGGGGAATCTGCTACAAGGGATTGCTATGCTAGGCATATTCCCTTGCTATAATCACTGAGCTCTTGTAAGAGCTTGTTCCTGCTTCGTTCTGAAGGGAGATAGCTGCAGCCTGCGGTGCTTATGGTGTCTGGTGGAGTGCTTGGAGTCCTCTGGAAGCGCTAGGAGCATCTTTCAACGGAGGTACCCAGTCGGGGTGCCAGGTGATCCGTTACAATATTTGACTTTCAATTTTTCCAATTGACAGTTTTTATTTTGTCATAAATCAAAAAGAAACATGGGGATACAGAACGAGGAAAGAGGGGGGGGGGGAAATACATTGCAGGCTGGCTACACAGACATTAGCTATGCGTAGTTATATACATATAGGTGTACATCGTAGTTAGACATCTACATACATGCGTTTCTTGGTTTTCATTGGTTCCAGAGCTTCATTGCTATGTTACAAAAATTCCCCTTTTGCATATACATGGTGTGTTGATGTCTGTTGGCGCTCTGCGTGGCGCCTCTTAATTTATGATTCAAGGGTCGTTAGACTCGCAAGAGTGGTTGTGGTTGGGTATTGTAGTGCAAGGACTCGTAATATGTTTTATCCACAGGTTCTATTTCAACTGTCAAAAGTAAAGACAAATAAGTCAATGGGACCTGATGGAATATACCCAAAGCTATTAAAAGAGCTTAGTGGTGTACTTTCAAAACCATTAACAGATTTATTTACCCAATCATTGTTAACAGGAGTAGTCCCAGAAGATTGGAAGTTAGCGAATGTTGTGCCCATTCACAAGAAATGTAATAGGGAGGAGTCGGGAAACTATAGGCCAGTAAGCCTTACTTCAGTAGTGGGGAAAGTGATGGAAACCATGTCAAAGGATAGGATTGTTGAACATCTAAAAACACATGGATTTCAAGATCAGAGACAACATGGGTTTACTTCAGGGAGATCATGCCAAACTAATCTTATTGATTTTTTTGATTGGGTAACTAAAATTATAGATCAGGGTGGTGCAGTAGACATTGCTTACCTAGATTTCAGTAAGGCTTTTGACTCTGTTGCACATAGAAGGCTTATCAATAAACTGCAATATTTAAGTTTGGATTCCAATATTGTTGAATGGGTAAGGCAGTGGCTGAGTGACAGGCAACAGAGGGTTGTAGTCAATGGAGTATATTCGAAGCTTGGGCTTGTCACCAGTGGGGTACCCATTCTCTTTAACATTTTTATTAGTGACATTGCAGAAGATCTTGATGGTAAGGTATGTCTTTTTGCTGATGATACTAAGATATGTAACAGGGTTGATGTTCCAGGAGGGATAAGCCAAATGGCAAATTATTTAGGTAAACTAGAAAAATGGTCAGAATTGTGGCAACTGACATTTAATGTGGATAAGTGCAAGATAATGCATCTTGGACGTAAAAACCCAAGGGCAGAGTACAGAATATTTGATAGAGTCCTAACCTCAACATCTGAGGAAAGGGATTTAGGGGTGATTATTTCTGATGACTTAAAGGTAGGCAGACAATGTAATAGAGCAGCAGGAAATGCTAGCAGAATGCTTGGTTGTATAGGGAGAGGTATTAGCAGTAGAAAGAGGGAAGTGCTTATGCCATTGTACAGAACACTGGTGAGACCTCACTTGGAGTATTGTACGCAGTACTGGAGACCGTATCTTCAGAAGGATATTGATACCTTAGAGAGGGTTCAGAGAAGGGCTACTAAACTGGTTCATGGATTGCGGGATAAAACTTACCAGGAAAGGTTAAAGGATCTTAACATGTATAGCTTGGAGGAAAGACGAGACAGGGGGGATATGATAGAAACATTTAAATACATAAAGGGAATCAACACAGTAAAGGAGGAGACTATATTTAAAAGAAGAAAAACTACCACAACAAGAGGACATAGTCTTAAATTAGAGGGACAAAGGTTT